ACATACTGGTTACCTGCACAAAAATTTCTGAACAATTCTCCATTTTCATTCATTACTCCTAGACCATGTCTCCCCATAATTTCTTCATAACCTGTGTTGTCTGATCCTATCTTAGCATTCAAGTCACCCATCAAAATTTTTAAGTTGCCCTTTCTTTCATTATTTATAATATTTTGAAGCTGCATGTAAAATTCTTCCTTAACAGATGCATCTTTATCATTTGTTGGTGCATAACACTGTATTACCGAGATGTTCACCTTCTGTTTTAACTGTTACTAAAAGATGCTCTTATTATTCTGGGACTCACAGCTTCCCATTCTATTAGTGCCCTGTCTGCTTCTTTTGATAGCATCAGGGCCACTCCCTCACTGTGCGGCGAATTTTCCTCTGTGTGTCCTGAGAACAAAATAGTTTCTCCTGAATTTAGAATACTTTTCCCTGCCCCAGTCCATCTAGTTTCACATAACCCTAAAATACTAATTCTATAATGTTTCATTTCCTTTGCTACTTCCATTGTTCTTCCTATATCATAAAGAGTTCTAACATTCTAGGTGCCAATTCTGGAGGTTTTCCTAGCTGAGAGGAGGTACGTCAACGATCCGGACTCCTTGCGGCTTTCTCCACACCGTGTCATACTTCTTCTATTTGAAGAGCCTTCCCTCATCTTGGTTGGCTGGATTTTATTTGCTTCTTTTTTTGACTTATCCATGGTTGGTTGGTTTTTGTGGCTATGGTTTTTACAGGATGAGGTAGCCAACCTCAAGCCCAACCCTACCCTTAGTCGCCTCTTACGACATGCCTGGTAGGGTGCAGTGTCACTATTCTTTGCTTCCCGTGAGGGCCCCGGTGACACACGGGCGGGGTACTTTGTGGTCAGGCCAATTTCTGTTGATCAAGCTGCAGGTACCAGCTGTCCTGATGTTAAATACTGTGTTGTTAGTGTGAGTTCCGAGCCCCATGGGGGGGGGGGGGGGTGGGAGAGAGAGAAGAGAATAGACTTTGTCCCTTAACAATCATATCGTACATGCAACTAATTAGAGGCGTTCACTTCGTAGTCGGAATGCATATACCTAGAACTGCAAGGAATCAACTGTCTGCGTGTAAATGTTAAATCAGTGAAACGGATGTGCATAAGACAGGTTCAGAAGTGGACGAACACCCATAATTTTCCGCTAGAGTTTACAGCCGGTCAGCGCGAAGAAGGAAAAAGAAAGAAAGAAAAAATTGTATTTGTGTTCAACATTCAGAGTCCTCGGGTTTCATTGCTGAAGATGTCATTCACCCTCATCCATGTCTACGACAGGCATTCTCTCTCTCTCTCTCTCTCTCTCTCTCTCTCTCTCTCTCTCTCTCTCTCTCTCTCTCTCTCTCTCACACACGCGCGCGCGCGAGAAGACAAATCTAATCTTCCTCTTCAGCCCGTGTGGTTCATGCTACAGATATCACCAGCCTTTATTCCTCTCGCTGGTTGGCTTTCTCTTTCCAAGTGTTTGTGAATGTAAATAATGTCGATACAAATAATACATTTCTCAATTTATTGCCGAGCATATTTCGCCGCATCCTGAGATGCTACGTGTAAAGAGGAAAGATAGACAGAAACGATGATATTAGGAGGAGAGTCGCCACCGAACCAATGCTGAATTGTATCGGTAGACAACAGATCAAGTGGTTTGGCAATGTAACAGGATTAACATCAGAGTACCACAGAGAACTATGTTATGCAGATAAAAAGCTAAGAGAACCAGATGTCGACCACGCAGAGCATGGATCGAAGAAATAGAGACACTGAAAAGTACTTTAAACGCAGCCAAAAAAAAGGCCCGTTCTAGAGATCTTTTCCTGACCTGACGCCGTGAAGCATTCCAGGAGTAGAAAGCAGATGAAGAAAAATAATATATTTTAAAAGTACTTTCAATCAATTATAGTAATTAGAGCAGTAGCAACAGCAGCAGCAGCAGTAGTAGTAGCACGACCGGTACCATTAGTATTGGAACTCTGCGCTTGCTGCTGAGAATGAGGACGAAGCACGCATTGGAATGCCTCGAGTGCTGTGATGTCAATTATTGACTCAGGTCTTTTAGCCTAGTGAATGTAAAAAAACTGGCCAGCCAGCCAGGTGAAGTCTGCTCGCAGTTTCCGTGTTGTGGTCGGCACCTCTCTCTGTGTTTGTTTCTCATCTTGTTTGTTGTTGTTCTGCGGGTTATTAAACACATTATCGCTGACACCAGTTAAGTTTTACTGATAATATAGATGCACGAGTTACACTTCATACATATTTTATGTTTAATTGCAAAGACATTTTTGCAATTTTTACGTCTGAACCAACGCCCATTTCTGGAAAAGTTTTCTATAGAGTTTGTTCACACAAACTGAAAGATTTTAGATAGGAATATTAATATTGCGTAGGAAAGTAGACTGTTTATATGTATAGACTCATATATGACTTGACATAAACGATTGTACTTGAGACATATTCACGCGTAAAAAAAAAAATTGTACATTTTATTTTTAATTTTGAAAATACACTGTTTATTTAAATAATAGTATACTATAATAATAATACCAACTCGAAGCAGGTCTATGAATTGTGATATTACTACCTGTAGTTATTTGAAGCTTTTTATAGAAGATGCACTTATAACAGATTATTTAATCTCTTGCCAACACACACATTATAATTACCAACCTGTATAAGAGGGGAATAAAGTAAGTCAGATATAATAATATGACATGGTCATCTGAGCCTGTAGTCACCAAATCTCTCAACTAGTATTTGTAATGTTAAGATAAATTTGAGGTTATTTTTATAGCCATGTGAAGTGATACATTGCATACCAAGTTCTATGTTATTTTTGTAAGAAACATACTTTGATTTATTTAAAATCAAGAGGCATTAATTGTACTCTGTCATCCCTCTGAGGGGCTGCGTGGTCTTGAGGCATGGTGTCTGTCTCGAGTGCTAGAGGTTCCGGGTTCAATCCCCGGTAAGGGCTGGGATTTTTCACCTGAACTTCTAGTAATTCCCCTGGTCTCTGGGTAGTGAGATCTGACTCCCGTGTACATTGTTGCGCATATACAAAAAAATCCCTTGGCAGTTGAAAATTGAAAAGAGTAGCATAACGGCAAAATTTGGAGTTTAAAATCTACTTAAAGTTTTTAAGGATCCTAGCCAGTGTTACAGAGACAGTGCACTGTGCTGAGCTTCTTTGGACTCAGACTTGAGTTAGAAGAAGAACGGAGCACTTATGGGTTACTACCCGTGTGCCGTGATGTTAAACTGTTATTAAAAACCTCAAATTATCATCTCACTGCTGGTTCCTCCTCCTGATGATGGTAGATTCTGTCAGCCACAGAAGATAACAACCAACTTTTATTTATTATTTTTCATATATCAGGTAATCATAGTTTCAACCTCATAGCAGCTGAGTCAGTCCCATAGTTGCTCTATTCCTGCGCCAACACAGAATGTTTATCACTGCACTTGTGAAAACAGTTGACACATACTGCAGTCTTGGCATGGCCAGTAGCATACACACACATTAAATGCATAAGGCAGCCATCAGAATTGCCAACACAGTCTGACACTATAAATGTGGTTCATCAGTTTGAGTATTAGTAGTTTCAGTTTATATATATATATCCTTTTTTACCATTAATCCAACTGGCTTAAATAGGTAGTTAGTTAGTCTTTCCTGTTGAGCCCAAGGTGGTGCATAGGGCAGAGGTCATAGCTCTCCATGTCTGGTTGTTCTTTGCCACCTGTTTTAGGTCTTGGGTGTTCATTAGGTCCATGGTTGAGCCTTCCCTAATGATGGTTCTATGAAGGGGGTCTCTTTGTTTTCTCAATTTTGTTTTTCCTTCCGGTGACTATTTGAAGAGTAGTAGTAGATTTTACCCCACTAGGACATCACTCAAGCGATAAACACCCAATGAAACAAAAATCTTCAAGTACATTGCATGCTGCAACAGAAACTAAAATCTTCAAGTAGATTGCACACTGCAACAGAAACAAAAATCTTCAAGTAGATTGCACACTGCAACAGAAACAAAAATCTTCAAGTAGATTGTACACTGCAAAAGAAAAAAGAAATCTATTTAATTATATTGTACACTTCAACAACAACAACAAAAAAAAAATTCAATTGTGCACTTCGACAAACAAATTTATGAACTTACATTGCACACTGCAACAAAACAAAACAAATATATGCAATTAAATTGTACACTGCCAAAAAAAATTTATGAAATTAGATTGTACACTAAAACAAAACAAAACATAAATGAAATTTGATTGTACACTGCCAAAAAAAAAAGAAATTAGATTGTACACTGCAACAAAACAAAAACAAATATATGAAATTAGATTGTACACATACCCCAGAAAAAAAAATCAATTAGATTGTACACTGCAAGAAAATTGTCTAACAATGATTGCACACTACAAAAAAAAAAAAAAAAAATGAAATTAGAGTGTACACTGCCAAAAAAGAAATTCTCAACACCCACCCCTTCCCCCTTTATGAAATCTCAACCCCTTCCATCTCCCAAGGGAAAATGCATCTCAAACTAGTTTGTACACTGCAACATAAATTTCTGAAACTAGATTGTACACTGCAACATAAATATCTGAAACTAGATTGTACACTGCAACATAAATATCTGAAACTAGATTGTACACTACAACATAAATATCTGAAACTAGATTGTACACTGCAACATAAATATCTGAAACTAGATTGTACACTGCAACATAAATATCTGAAACTAGATTGCCTTAATTTCCATGCAAAACTGCACATATGCATTTGTAAGACACATCAGTACTTGCCGTGTGGGATACAGATGTGTACATTTTTGCATGTGCTAAATATAAAAGGTTTGATTTCGGTTTGTTTCTAGGACAGGCTTTAGCAGTAAACTGTTATCCTAGGACTTTATTCATGCTTGGAAATAGCTGATATTCATGTATGCACTGGTGAAATTCTGTGTGTGGATTAAAAATGGCGACAAACTTTATACACATTGGAGACATTGTGTCATTATATGCCGAAGGCACAGTCAGTGGATTTCTCTCGACCCTTGGGTATGTTTCATATTTGTGTGAAGTTTTAGTTAAAGAGCTCCCTGTGTGGGTTCTGGGACCTCATTGTGGGGGGGGGGGGGGGGGGGGGGGGGGGAGAATAGACCCACTGCACTCTAATGAGCATGTTTTAAGAGTCAACTAATTAGGGGTGTTTCAATCTAAGTCAGAGTGCTTCTGCCTGAGAGATGAGGAATCAACGGTCTGCTTACAAATAAATCGGATTGTAAAACAGAGTGCACACCAACTTAGGATTTGGAACAAAAAGTCCATAAGTGGACTAACGGCTAGAACTTTCCACCCGAATTTAGAGCTGGTAAATGCGAAGAAGAAGATCTAAACTCTTGAGCAAACTTAGCAACTGTTACAGTGTCAGAAGACATGGTAATAATCCTACAGATTTACTGATTTAAGAATCAACGTCTGAGAACACCAGGCATACCGTTAAATGTTCCACCGCTCACAGCAGATGTCTTAAAGTGTAGATGTTAACTGTTCATGTAGCGCACTGATTATATATACACCCATTCTCTTGCTCTCAAACGTCTCTCCAACTGTTCATGTACCACACTGATTATATATACACCCATTCTCTTGCTCTCACACATCCCTACAAGTGTAGATGTTAACTGTTCATGTAGCACACTGATTATATATACACCCATTCTCTTGCTCTCACACCTCTCTCCAACTGTTCATGTAGCACACTGATTATATATACACCCATTCTCTTGCTCTCACACATCCCTCCAAGTGTAGATGCTAACTGTTCATGTAGCACACTGATTATATATACACCCATTCTCTTGCTCTCACACATCCCTCCAAGTGTAGATGCTAACTGTTTATGTAGCACACTGATTAAATATACACCCATTCTCTTGCTCTCAACATCCCTCCAAGTGTAGATGCTTACTGTTTATGTAGCACACTGATTATATACACACCCATCATTCTCAGACAGCTCATTTTCATGGTTACTGTTTGTTGAAAGTGTTCATGTCTGGAACTGGTAGCAGAGAGTGAGAATGACTATGCTTTGTATGAGGTGTTTCTTTGAGATGTTCTTTTTTGCAGATCTCTCTGGACATTATCTCTCCATCATCTTTTTACCTCTCTGTTCTAAATAACATGCAAAAAATTCAATCAATGAATGACTTGCGATGCCATACCATACGAGGCATACACCAAAAGAGAAGGACCTAGAGCACGAAGTAGACCTAGAACAGGATAAAAAAATAACATCAGAGAAACTCTACAACAGCATGATGTGTCTGTGGTCAAAGCGGCCAAAAGAACAAGAGGCAGAACCTTATGTCTAGCCTGGCGCGCTAGCTAAGTTGGTTAAAACAACCAGGGCCATGACAGGTGACAAACTCCTTGTGGTCCGAATTCACACTCAGGGGCAGGTAGAAAAACCACATATTTCCCAGATTTACGGTAGCTATCACGGAATCAAGCCAAAGGGTTGTGATATCCACAGTACCAGGCCGAAGAGTTTACAATTTATGGTTTCTGGATCAGTTAAAAAAAAAAAAAACACACCCTCAACAGCCAAAGTGGTAAAAGAGGAAATGGAGAAGCAGGAAAAAAAGTCACTAAAGGTATGGATGTTTTCTTGTCTGAAGGTATGGATGTTTCCTTGTCTGAAGGTGTGGATGTTTTCTTGTCTGAAGGTATAGATGTTTTCTTGTCTGAAGGTATGGATGTTTTCTTGTCTGAAGGTATGCATGTTTTCTTGTCTGAAGGTATGCATGTTTTCATGTCTGAAGGTATGGATGTTTTCTTGTCTGAAGGTATGGATGTTTTCGTGTCTGAAGGTATGGATGTTTTCTTGTCTGAAGGTATGCATGTTTTCGTGTCTGAAGGTATGCATGTTTTCTTGTCTGAAGGTATGGATGTTTTCTTGTCTGAAGGTATGGATGTTTTCTTGTCTGAAGGTATGGATGTTTTCGTGTCTGAAGGTATGGATGTTTTCTTGTCTGAAGGTATGGATGTTTTCGTGTCTGAAGGTATGGATGTTTTCTTGTCTGAAGGTATGCATGTTTTCGTGTCTGAAGGTATGCATGTTTTCTTGTCTGAAGGTATGGATGTTTTCTTGTCTGAAGGTATGGATGTTTTCTTGTCTGAAGGTATGGATGTTTTCGTGTCTGAAGGTATGGATGTTTTCTTGTCTGAAGGTATGCATGTTTTCATGTCTGAAGGTATGCATGTTTTCTTGTCTGAAGGTATGGATGTTTTCTTGTCTGAAGGTATGCATGTTTTCGTGTCTGAAGGTATGCATGTTTTCGTGTCTGAAGGTATGCATGTTTTCGTGTCTGAAGGTATGGATGTTTTCTTGTCTGAAGGTATGCATGTTTTCTTGTCTGAAGGTATGCATGTTTTCGTGTCTGAAGGTATGGATGTTTTCTTGTCTGAAGGTATGCATGTTTTCTTGTCTGAAGGTTTGCATGTTTCCTTGTCTGAAGGTGTGGATGTTTTCTTGTCTGAAGGTATAGATGTTTTCTTGTCTGAAGGTATGGATGTTTTCTTGTCTGAAAGTATGCATGTTTTCTTGTCTGAAGGTATGGATGTTTCCTAGTCTGAAGGTATGGATGTTTTCTTGTCTGAAGGTATGCATGTTTCCTTGTCTGAATTTATGGATGTTTTCTTGTCTGAAGGTATGCATGTTTCCTTGTCTGTTTTTGGATTTTTGTTGTCTTTGCAAAAAAAGATTAAATGATTTTAAGAATCAATATCATAGCATACCAGACATGCCCGCAGATGTTCTATCTCCCACAACAAATGTTGTAAGGTGTGGTGAAGACAGGAGATAATAAAACAATTTTTTCAAAGGGTCATAAACTGGGCACGCAGATCCATCTCGTATTGGGCCCTTCCTACCATCCTCACACAGGAGTTGTATTCTATGATTATAAACATTCAGTATTCATGTTCTATCCCAGATTGGTTGATGATCGTTCAGTTGTGCAACCAGATGCTGGAGATTTGAACAACCCACCCAAGAAGTTTCGGGGTAAGTAGATTTATGACTTGTAGCATTTGTTTGTTTCTTTGAGGATTTTGTGTGCATGCTGGAGAACATTGGGCGAGGAGAGGAGTTGGTCAGAGTACCAGAGGAAAAGTCTGAACTGTGTAGGGTTATGTTCACATTGGGCCAGGAGAGACCAGCAGGTGCTACAGAGTTTGAAGTCCAACAGTTGATTAACAACAATTCAAGACCAGGTGATCTGATTATCTATAAAGATGGTTCGGTGTTGAGAGGAAAGAGAACTTAACTGCCTGGTGTTTCGTAGTGAAAGCCAGTGGAAAATCTTTAGTGCAAGACAACCTAGCATACAACACCACATCTAGGATGAGAATGAAGTTGGAGGTGGTCACAGCAGCTTCATTTGCAGAATTTAACTCTTTGAGTCCCAGGGGGTTTAGCATCACAGGCCCAGGGTGGTAGTAAAGAAAGTAATAAAATCGGTGCATCATGCGTTCATTGGGCTTCTAGGGAGGAACCTATGAACGTATGATGCGTTCCTTGGGACTCAAAGAGTTAATGCTTGCTTCTCCCTCTCCATTCCTCGTTTTTTTTTTTGCATCTTTGAAGGGTCATTGTATCACATAACCTGAGCAGCTATCCCTTTAGGGTTTCTGGCTGTGAAATGTCTACCTGCTTTTTCATTTTTGTTAAATTAACCTGAATGCTTGTCTGTCTCTCTGCCTCTGTGTCCCCTTATAATTTTGGGGACAGGGCCTCATAGCGCTGAAGTCTTGTTCAAGGGTGTAATCATAATAATAATTTATTAAGTGACAGATACATATATTTGAAATAATATGGTATGTTTAAACAAACACTTCTCCTTTGCTTTCAGTTTTAACTGCTCAGGTCAGACCATAAGGTGATCAATCTCTATAAACTCTCATGTAGTTGCAGGTCCCTTGGGGGTTCCCAACAGCTTGCTCTGCACACTTTGCTCTCAAGGCCGGGTTTCTTTTCATAGTTGTTAGTGGGCAGGCCTGCAGAATGTGCTCACATGTGTGTGGTCCCATCTGACATGCACACTGTGTGGACTGTGGAGACTTTATTTTATGCTTGTGGAATACAAAGACAGGAGAAATTCTTCACATGGTTTGGGAGGGGGAGGCAGTTATCCCTCTTGCAGATTTTCGGGGTGGCTTGATCCACATGTCTGCCCTTCAGTTCAACCCCACTCATCTGTCTTGTCTTTCTCTAGTTGCCTTCGGTTCTTGTTCAACCAAAAACCATTCTAGGCTGCTGCTGGTCAAAACTGGGTGTAGCCGTGCCTGCAGTCAGTCTTGGGATAAAATTACGTTTTCAACATCCTGTTGTGCTATTATGTGTTACATAGGGCTCGTGGTCTTCTCCTCCATTTTGTCCTGTGCTATCAGTTCAATATCATTTATAGAAAACCAGGCCAGCAGTTTTGGCCTCTCTTATCAGCGTTCATTTTAGGGTTTCGTTTGGGCACCTTCAGCTCCTTAATCCCTTTATTTCCCATTTTAAAGGTGTTTGGTAATTCTCTACTGGTTTCTTCTCAGAATATGTCCAATCTAGTGCCATCTTCTCTGCCTTATAACTATTGATACTAGTAGTTTTCCTGATGTTTCTATTATTTATTCACTCCGTTTTGAATTCATCCCATTTTATTTTTGTCATATAATTACATATGAGGTCATAAATTTTGTTGAAAGTTTTCAGTATAAGGGTGATTCTATGGGTGATAAACTGGTTCTCATGAATCCCAAACATCACACACTGTGTTCTTTTAGCCCCCTCCTCCCCCCACCCCCCGGTTTGGTTAGAGCATACTACAGAAATCTGGCTTTCCAAGTTGCCTCTTTGGAAAGGTTGTACTCTGGATTTTTCATAATGTTTATTTCTCTTCCTTTGAAACTGATGTGAAAGGTTGGGGGGGGGGGGGGGGGGGTGTTAACCTGGCTGTAACCGTGAAACAACAGCTGCAACTGTACTGGTTTCAACCATTCGTGAGGCCTGGTTAAGGCCATGGCCGTGCTGTTGGTTATGACTGTGCTGTTGGTGATGACCGGCTGTACTGGTTACAAACAGGGTAGGACTTGGCTGTAACTGTGGTCAGACCTAGCATGCTGTGTTACGCTTGCCGCGAATGTCACGTATTTTGTGTCCACAGATTGCCTCTTCAAGATATGTCCCATGAACCGCTACTCAGCCCAGAAGCAGTTCTGGAAGGCAGCAAAACAAACCTCGTCCATGCCGGACTCGGTGCTTCTTCAGCGCCTCAAGGTGATCCGTCCATGTCTTGTGCCTGTTAGATGTTTGTGTCGCATTTGTATCCTGCCTGTGTGTGTGTGTGTTTGTGCGCACGCGTGCGCAGTTTGTTCCTTTCCACATCTTGTGCATATCATAAGTTTGTGCCGCGTCTTGAATGACGTTATGTGTTACGTCCTCTGTGCCGCATGCGCGTCTTGTGTTTGTGTCTTGCTCGTTTCCAGCGAAAGATACTAATTTCCCGAATTGTACTTACTCGCTTTGGTGGTTCCCTGTCCTTTAAGGGAGACATAAGGTTCTGCTTCTTGCGTTCTGAACGACTCGGCCATAAACACTGTCATGCTGTTATAGAACTTCTATGATATCTTTTCATGTTGTTCTTGGTCTACCTTATGCTCTACGTCCTTCACTTTTAGTCTATGCCTTGTATGATATGGCTCCCCTCTAAACTGGCCAACTATATGATTTGTTGCCTTTGCATGTCAGTGCACTGTTGCACCAAGAATTAGAGGCATATCAAATCATGAAAAATCCGAAAAACACAGGATGAAAACTGTCAAAAAGCCAGTCACGGCTTATTACAACAATGATTCCTAGGCAAAGTAGTGATAAAGTTAAAGGCAGCAGAGTTGTAACTTGCTGTAGGCATGACCTGCCATTTTGCAATACGCACAATTGATCATCTAAATAAAATCATAAGAGCGCATGGTAGGGGGGAGTAAATTGGAGCACATGCAGTTGCATATAACTAAATGTTCATGCCTAATAAAAAAATATGTTATCGCCTGCACTTAAGGATGACCTTATTGAGGAATTTCGGAACAAGAAATATGCCGTCATTATAGATGAGTTGCAAAGATTTAATCCCATTGAGAAAATGCTTAAAGATTTTACATCCAAAAAAGGTTTACGCTGTGTCTTCCACTTGTTCCAGTGAAGAATTAAATCTAGAGCTTTTGATGTGAAGCGAGTACAAAGTTACACTTTATTTGGTATTTTCTGGCATATTTTGGATAATGGTTTGGCACCCCGCGTGTCACCGGGACCCTCACGGGAAGCAAAGAATAGTGACACTGCACCCTACCAGGCATGTCGTAAGAGGTGACTAAGGGAAGGGTTGGGCTTGAGGTTGGCTAACTTATCCTGTAAAAACCATAGCCACAAAAACCAACCAACCATGGATAAGTCAAAAAGAGAAGCAAGTAAAATCCAGCCAACCAAGATGAGTGGAGGCTTTTCAAATAGAAGTATGACGCGGTGTGGAGAAAGCCGTAAGGAGTCCGGATCGTTGACGTACCTCCTCTCAGCTAGGAAGGAAAACATACACGTAGAGAAGAGAGCTTGAGAATGAGGTTAGAAAGATTGGGAGGACACGGGGAAGAGCTCCATGCAATGGCGAAGGATAGAACGACTTGGCGTGAGTTGGTTGAGGGCCTATGCTCCAATGGGGGATAGAAAGGCAGAAGAAGAATAAAATTAAGATTTTTATTTGGCAACCCTGCGTTTGGTGTCAATTGTCACATGTTTGTTCTGCAAAATTGGTGACGTCTCACACATGTTTGTTCTGCGAAATTGGTGACATCTCACACATGTTTGTTCTGCAAAATTGGTGACATCTCACCTGTGATTTAGTTAGTTAATCGACGGATTATCCTCACTGCACATCGAACCATTCAGTCCATAAATGCTCGGATCCCCTCCTCAGTCAATCCTGCAGCGTGTAGCGGCTGACGACACCAGGTGGTTTCTTATTCTTCTTTGGCTTCCAGCATAGTGCTCTTGCCTGACCACAACCCTTTTAACATGTTGTTCTTGCAGTATAGTCATGGTTGCAGATTCACAGTCATCGCTTGGTTCTCGCGAACAAACGTTTTACTTCTCGTAGAGCATTCAGAATATCAGCATGGTCCATCAAATCTCCATTGATTTGATTTGCACGATATAACATCTGTGTTCTTATATTTCATCTGCTGTCTTGCTTTGTTGTAAAAACTGTATGGAGTAAGAACGTGTGTTTCGATGTAAGAACGTCTCACAGAAAATGCTCGAAACGTTATTTGTACGTTTAGCTGCGCTACTGCTGAGTCATGAATGAAAGTTGTGTTTAACGTCCAGGCCATGCCTGTATGCAGTCAATCATCGACTGTGACCTTTCCTAGTCTCATCTCATACTGTAAACACGCTAGTTTAAATCTCGTCCCGGGGTATCGTGTGCTAACACCGACAGAACGAGTTCTCAAACAACTGTTTATACGTTACAAAAAGCACTTGTATAACCGGGTACCGACGGTCCCGCTATAACGTACCAGTGCACACTTTACGCATGTTCAATTCTGCATTTTTGCGCCTGTTGTGACCAGTTCGTCCTGTACGTTCTCACTGGTGGAGCTTCTAGGCGCACCTATTACTTGGTGTGTACCAGCGTTCTTCAATCCCCGGACAGCGGCCCATTGCTGGGTCGCTGAAAAGTCCTGATGGGCTGCAAGTAATAACAAGAAATCTTGTTCTTCTTTCGTTCGCTCTAAAATAAAATATCTACATTTGCAATGTTGCCTCTAGTATAAACTTCACCGTCTATTGTAATTCACTCAGCGAGCCGTAAAGTTTGACTTGCACCGATGTTTCTCATGGCCAAAAGTTTTGCATAACAAGAAATGAATATCGATCTCTGAGCTGTCAAATTGTTGGTGGTTTTTAAATGTTTTTGTCCCTTTTCCTGTTTGTGTGAAAAGACTTTCTCGGCTATGTCAGCAATAAAAACTAAGCTGACAAATCGAATAGATGTTAATGCAGTGCTTCGTATATCAGAAACAAGGCTTTAGTCACATATGTAAATTTTTCCAACTCTTGAGCAGCAGCAGATGTCGCATTAGCCATTTGCCGACAGTTGTAATTTTGTAACTTTGGATTTTACAAACTACCATCTCCTACGCCACCAGTGGAAGAACCAGTGTCCACATATGCCAAACCCAATTGTATTTACCAATTTAAATGCATTTCTGTTGCTGCCTGTGTAGACAGAACTGATCGACGACTGGAGAAATGGATTGCTGAATAAATTCCACTATGGGTGGTAAAAGCATTGCCAAACACTGACGACAACAACTGAACATATTCCACTATGGGTGGTAAAAGCATTGCAAAACACTAACGACAACAACTGAACATATTCCACTATGGGTGGTAAAAGCATTGCAAAACACTGACAACAACAACAAACAGCAAATCCGGTGACTGGCCGAAAAAATCCCCTATCAGCCGTTGTGCCATGTTTTGAATTTTGGGCACATTGTAATCAAAGTGTAGTATCTGTTCTTATAAACAAGGAGGATGCATTTCGAGTTATTTACATTTAGCCAACCGGAGATTATTGAGATTTGTGGAAGTAACTGCTAGACACCAAATTAGTCCAGAATTATGCAGAAAACAGGACATAATCTTCATCTGGCGTGTAACCTCCTGGAACAGACAGTTTTTGAATGTATTAGATTTTGTATTACAGTTGGAAGGATTTATTTATTTGCTTCATTTCATTGTGTAGTATGCACCTGACGAGATACAGAAAAATATGTCAGGCAGTACATTTTGTGATCTATTGTTTCTGTCTTCTTTGCTCAAATTCACAACGGGAAAGCATTGCTCTCTTTATCTGTTTGGTTAATTGCCAGGTGGTATGTGGAACAATTGTCCCCGTTTTGTGGGCCGCGGCTGTAAAAAGGTTGAGAAACACTGATATATAGAGAGCCTTCATGTTTATGTTGCTTGTTTAGTTTATGAGACTGCTTTAGTTTATGTGGGTTATTTGTGTTGGTATGATTTTTTCAGACATGGGTATTCTTGTCTTTATTTACTCGCGTGGGATAAGAACAAAGTGTCTGCTGTACTTCTTCTTCTTAAAGTTCATGTCGTGTGGCGTTGGTAGTCATGTCTTTCCACAACCTTCTGTCTCCTGTCTTTAAGTCCATTCCGTGAGCGGTGGTAGTCATGTCTATCCATAACCTTCTGTCTTCTGTCTTAAAGTCCATGCCATGTGGCGGTGGTAGTCATGTCTATCCATAACTTTCTGTCTCCTGCCTTAAAATCCATGCCATGTGGCGTTGGTAGTCATGTCTTACCACAACCTTCTGTCTCCTGTCGTAAAGTTCATTCCGTGAAGCGGTGGTAGTCATGTCTATTCATAACCTTCTGTCTCATGTCTTAAAGTCCATGCCACGTGGCGTTGGTAGTCACGTCTATCCACAACATTATGTCTCCTCTCTTAAAGTCCATGCCGTATGTCGTTGGTAGTCATTGGTAATCATTAAATGCATAAGGTGGCCGTCAGAAGTGCCCTGTCTCTTGTCCTGGTTGTACACTCTCTCAGACTTGCCCGTCGATCTCTTGATGTTAACCTCCCACTTGTATCGTTGCCCACCTCTTGCTGTCTCTCCTTCGACCGAATATATTACGGGGAGTCTAATACTGGGACACCCATGCCGGTTGGCTGTTACTCTACCTATCATGCACGGAGACAGCGTGTTCAATACCATGACAGTGACAGCCTGGCCTGGTGTTCTCACGGTCTGGTTTTGAGTGGACTTCAATGTCAAGAAAGGGATACCTGTCTATAAATACTGTCTAACGATTGGCTCGTGGGATGTATATGACCAGTAAATATCATGCTGTTGCATTCAATGGACTGTGTGCGGCGAAGCGATGATATCACATTAGCTTGCAGCTGACAAATGTCTCGGGTTACATCCCTGATGAACTCTGCCGCGGATATTTGATTCAGTCCTCCGTACTGTGTTATTACAGGGGTGTAAGCAGATCCTCACCGTGTCATACGTCTTCTACTTGATGAACCTTCCCTTTTCTTGGTTGGCTGGGTTTTACTTGCTTTTCTTTTTGACTTATCCATCGTTGGTTGGTTTTGACAGACATTCATTTACTGGTACCTGCTCAGAATAGAGGGAATAAAATGGTATGATATAATCACTAATGTAGAGCTTTGGGGGAGAAATAAGCAAGCTCCA